ATAAAGCGTTCTCAAATCCCTTTGAATATATCCGCATTATCATCTAAGCATGGTTGTCACTTTATTCCCATTTTCATTATAGTTAACAGCAACACGAGCTAATTACCATCTTGTAACCACTCCTTCAGTCAAAGAAATGCTTCAGCCGGCATACTGCCTACAACGACGGAAATTAAATGCATGTCAAACATGAATAAATAAATGTTATCAGGTCTTACTATGGTAATTTTCATTCTGTTTGTTTGTTACGGAGTGGAAAAAAAACAATGGCATTAGTGTCTGAAAAAATAAACGAATTCATTAGATAGTTCTTCCTTATTATGTTAGATATTTACTTGTGTGTGTGTGTGTTTTTTTTTTTTTTTTTTTTTTTTTTTTTTTGAAAATTGTATCTAATATACTGAATCGAATTAAAACCTAGTTTAAATAGCAAAATTAACCAATGAAATATCTTCCAAATTAATAAGCGGCAAAACCATAATATAAAATATCGCCTAACATTTGGGAAGACGTAATAATGAATATGGATAAAAAGGGTCTTCTGATCTTTTTGTTTAAATGATATATCAATATGATAATACAGCAAAAGTGTTGATTTGATAATTTTTTATAATGATTTATGTCTCCTAAAAAGCCTATTATATCAGTGCCGTAATTGTTCATTCATTCAATAAACCTTTAAACAATTAAAATTTTAATACATGTAATATATTAGTACAAAAGGTCGCACTGTTTTTGCAGTTTATGGTCACAAAAGTCAATTAACCAAATGGTATGTTGTCCATGCCATGATAAGGTTTAAATGATTTATCTAACAATGTCGAAATAATCTTCTCAATATAACCGCATAATTGCGGATATTTCGTGATATTTATTATCTAAAAGAAGTTGTCATGCTTTTTTTTTCAGTGGGGGGGGGGGGGGGGCTTCAGGGACATGTATACCAATACTTTAGGTGATCATTAATGGTGATTGAATACAACTTTAGCCTTTGATTAGGTGCGTAAGAGACATTGATTTTCTCATTAACTGGCTTGAAAATACTAGACTAGTTCTGCATTACCAACAGTTGTATTTGGTTCTCATTGAACTCTCATTGAACTCTCAAGGAATCTACTCTTACAAAAATTTAATGTATGATTTCCTACCGGATGAAATTCATTTATTATTGAAACTTGAACTTTTTTGTCGGTAGAAGTTAGCCTGATTTTGCAAGCGCGAGAGATACTACACATTTTTGTTTTTCTCTCGGGATCTTACTGAACTATTTGTTTTTTGCTTTGGGCATATTGCCTTTCAATAATTGTTATATGCCTTGTCTACAGTTTGACGAGAGGGAAATGGATATGAAGTTGATTTTAAATGACACATTTGTCATAAGATTGTGATCAAAAGTATTTATACTATATTTAGATTTCCATGAATACCAATAAATATGATACTATCTTTCAACTACCGAAAAGTGATATGCATGCATATTAAAGGTAACAAGGCTATATCGAATGAAACATGTTCTAGAAACACAGCCAACCCGACATTATATAGTAAATGCGATCAAAGATAAAGGGCGATGTACTGTCAGCTTAATCTACAGCAATGATATTTTACCTTATCTTCTGTACTGTTCTGCAATTTATTCCCATTTCTTGGCTAAATACCTATTCTGGATCCAGATCATTTTGTGTACGGCTCTTTTGATGTTGGTGACTAAAAGGTTTCGGTGATGCAGTCCGAATCCTAATCTGTTCTATATTCCCTTGATGATCTTAACTATCCAGTGTATGTCCGGTTTTCATCCCGTCTTCTACTCTCAATTTATCCAAAATTTACTTTTTAATATAATAAAACTGATAAGTATTTAGTGAAAAGAAAGTGAAATCCTATCAATTTGTTTTGCAATTTTTGCACGTTTTTGTTATTTTGTGAAATTTATACTTCCCAGCACTGCCCATGAACAAACTACAAAACGAGCCTGCAACATTTTTTATTTTGCTGTTTTGGGCGTTCTTTAGGGATTCATTTTGTTATATTTTAGTAATGTAAATGCTGTATTCTGTAAGCTCTGCTGCCTCTGGCCGTTCTTTAATACTATATTTGAACGTAGTACATCAGGCCTTTTCTCGTTAATTCTTTTTTGTGACCAGACTAGCCTTCGAAATCAAATATTTCTTTCAAATGTTACATACAAACTTATTCATTATCTTTCATGTACAGACTCAAACCAACCGAGTCTGCAATTCTCTTGTCAATTTGTTTTGATTAATGCTTCCAATGGATCACTTTGTTTCCAGATTTTAATATCATGTCTGCAACCAGACCGCAATTATCAATTTATTAAAGGCAAATATTTAAACGCTTGAGATTATTCTAGTTCAAACATAATCTTTATTTTTGCAAACCTTATGTCTAGTAGCTGATACAATTTGACAATTTTTTTACTTAATGATGTTTCTTAAACATAATATCTGATGATTGTTGAATAATTCATATTAATATCAATGTTGTCATACTATTGAATTTCTGCATCTATACGTTTAGCTTATTATAAGAAATCTGTCAAGTATTTATCATATCAGTTTTTTCATGTATGCCTATTCCATGTATTTATTTGCAACCAAGAGTCAAAATGGCCCCATGACCAAACGTACCCGATTTGGGTCCAAACTGGCCCCTTTTCTAAATATCATAATCAAACGTCCCCATTTGGGTTTAAATTTCTTTGTTCTATAGGATTTTAAAATGTTCTTGTGATCTAGAAAAGACCAAAGAGGAGAAGCAACAAACAAACTTGAAGTAAAATGCTTCAATATCAATGAAAACTTAGTAGATAGGAATTTAACTTTAATACATAGTCGTTAAAATAATCATTAGAGAAGTAAAATAGAGAAAATAATAACTCATAAAGAACGTCCAAAACAGCAAAATTGAAAATGTTTCCGATTTGATTGACTTTGTTTAGTAGCGGCACTGGAGAGTGTAATGGACTGCCAAGCCCCTGCCGGAATTTAAAATAAAACGTTTAGTATAGTTGCATTCAGTGAACACCGCCTTTCTTTTTGATCTCATTTATGATATGCTAACATTAAACAGTTTTTTTAATTGAGAAATATCTGCAAATGTGACAGTCAATGAATAGCCGCGTATGGTCCCATGTAAAAGAAACAATGGGCACAACTAAATACAACAGAATTTAAAAAGTTGTTACAAAACTAGACAGTCCGTCAAAGCCAAAATTGAATGTTAACATTTGAGAATTACTACTCTTGCCAAAAGAAATATACTGCACACTGTGATAATGTCAAGGTTGGTGTGGCTTCACGTACTTCACTTCAGTGTTGTTATATTTTCTGGTCCTTCGGGATCATTGATACCAGCACTATTTAGTGTTGAGAATTGAGTACCGCTCAATCTGGTGCTAGGGGGCGTGAGGGATGTTGCACTTGTTCATTATCCCCCATGTACAGACTCAATCAAACCGAGTCTGCAATTCTTATGTAATTTTGTTGTGATTAATGCTTCCGAGAGATCACTTTGTTTCCAGATTTTTTTTTGTTTACGGCACACCAACACAGTATATGTCATATGTCGCTGAAACAGGAAAGATTATTTTGGCTAACCTCGGGTATAACAAATTTCAAAGCAACACCAAAGGTCACATGCTAGATCCATTAGACTCGCGTTATCTGAATCTATTAAAATAGACAAACACAGAATCCCTAAAGAAAGCCCAACACGGCAAAACTGAAAATGTTGCAGGCTCGGTTTGATTGAGCCTGTTCATGGACGGTATTGGAAAGTGCAAGTTACCGTCCACGCCCCCTAGCACCGGCTTAAGCAGAATTCAACATTTAAACGTGAAATAGTAAAATTTTGAATTTAGAAACATCCGCAGATGTGTTCATACGGCGGTTATCATGGAACCTTCAATGTGACACTTCCGTGCCATTCCATGAAGAGCGGCGTATGGTCCCCAAGTAATAAAAAGCGTATTAAGTCATATATAACTAAAGGTTCTAAATCAGTTTACTTTATAAAATGTATATCTTCAATTATTTTGATGAAGTTCTCAGTTTTCAAACGTATATCAAGGTAGACCACCTAATAATGAAATACAGCTTAAATTATTTGAGATATCTCCCCTTTTCCTTTTAAGAAGTGAAAGTAACTTATCTAACGTTGCAGTTGGCAATTGTAAAACGTTTTCAGACACTTTTACTTAGCGTTCAATCTAACTTTTGTAGTTTTCATATTTTGCTTTAACCAGATGGTTACAACTAAATCTCTCCATGCGTCTAATGCAGACAAATAACAACGGATACATCTGTGCTGTTTGGTCATAGTCTGTCTTCAAATATTCGCTATTCTGGAAGAACTTACTTTTGTTACTTACCTTAAATGACGAATGGTTTTGTCCAGAATGGAAATTAGACAAGTTCATTCATTATAATTTATCATGGTAAGTGTTCAACTGTTGCCTAATGAACAAATTCAACATAACCGAATCTGCGCTTTACAATTGTTTTTTATTTACACTTTTATCGTTTGTTAATGTCATCGCTCATTGGCAGGCTGTTAAACAGTTTAACAGTACTAGTTGCCTACACTTTCGAAAGGAAAATGACCTGCACCGTCCGAGGAATCGAACCCTATTCACAGTCCAACTTTCTACCTATTGAGCTTACTGGACAGTTCAAAATGTTGAAATCTTTCTATAATTATATATTAACAGTGTTGTTTTCGTTTCATTCAACATATACATGTATGTCATGCAAAGGTACATAATATTATATATTTCACATGATTCAAGATACTATATGCACACACTTGTAATCAGATAACAGTTTATTTTGCCTAGTTCATGTAAATGAATAATTTTGTACTACAAATTATACATATATGTATTAGACATCAAAATACTTACGTGCTTATCTGTGCAATAATTTTTTATACTCTATTTAAGTAGCTTATGCAATGCTGATTTTATTTATTCTAATTGTGGAAAACTCGATTATGGCAATTTATATATAAATGTCTAAAGACAATTTGTCTCATGTGGTATCATGTACCGTATATATAACGCTAAACATGCATTTAGTAGTTGAGGGAAACCTTCATTCCTAAACGTTAACCTGTATTAGTGGATTTGCCCTGCTGCAAACTTTTTCAATACCATACTATACGAACAGTATAGAAACGTTACATTAATTACGCTACGCTATGCTATGAAAGAATTTTGGAACAAATGGTTATTGTTGATATTAGTATTGTACGGAATGTTGTCCATAGCGTAAGCCAGTTTTGGAAAAAATTAAAAGGTATGCGCTTATTCAAGTATCATAACTTATTCTATTTGTATATCAGGAAATATTTTACTATCTTGAATAGTTATATTACTGTCGCCATCACATAGTCGCCATCGCGTTATCGCATTGTCGTCGCCGTTCTATCGTACGTTTGTCCTCATCGCACTATCGATTTGTTGCCCTCTATGACGTAAAACCACGATGGCCCAGACGATATTCCGTATAAAACAGATAGTTTGTAGAAAGGTGTTTAAAATAACTAATAATGTACTTGTACTTAATGACTTGTAAAAGTCAGCTTTGACAAACTGGGTTTCCCAAGCGAAATTTCTGTATAAATCCTCATGTAGTTTATAGACCTTCCCTTTTTAGGTGTTATGTCACCCAGTTTCGTTAAGTAAAGTGTAAAAATGCACGTCATTCATTTAAAATCTATCTAGGATACTCACAACAGCCTTCACGTATATCAAAGATTAAGTATGGGAAATGTGTGTTTGTTTCTTATATGTGTACTTACTATGTGCAATTCAGGAAGAGGTAACTGAGAAATTTTAGTTTATACAATTAATCATTATTAAATTGAATTTCTTCAATGCATTAAGAAATCATTACACTTAACTCGTTAATTTTAAGTATCATTGTTTCTGCTCACTCCGTTAAATATTAAGTTCGGTTAAAATTAAATTGTAGAACAGAATATTTTTTTCGAAGGTTCGAGCCCCACGGGGAGTGTTGATTGAAGGATGAATGTTTCTCGTGGGACTCGTTCCGAGATGGCCGCTTCGAGAGCTTTTAGGTAGTTTAAATGAATGGTTACCGATTTCTATCTGCCTGGCACCTGGCATAGTGGTAGGAGTTGGGGTTACATGGTCTGCAAGAAAACGGTGTCCCATAGGTCAAAAATAACTGGCCCTTTCAGTAGAAGTGACACTAATATTATAATAAACAAGACCTTTTATACACATACAATTATACATCGTCATAAAGATAAAAAAAGAGGTTTCCATTTTGGCTAACCTAAATGACATTTTGAGTGTCGTAGTCACTCACCTTTTCTCAACTCAGTTAAGACTAGGGCTGTGATTGATTGAAAATTTTGTATTGATAATATCAAGAGACAAATATCGACGATATATCGACTTTGACAGTAGAAACAATTAAATACATTTAAACATGTGTTAAAATTGGGATCACGGTATTATGCATGCTTGTTTTGGACATAACAAATTCTACAAACTAAGAGAAAGTGTGTTTTTTTTTCTTTTTGTCAATGACATTTGAAAAGAGTTTTAAGTTCAAGTTAGCCAAGAAAACTGGAAAAAAGTGACTTCTCTTACTTGGCAAAAAGAGAGGTATACAAATTTTAGCTTGTATCGATATTTGAAATTGTGTATCGATACTGAATCGCGGATGATATATATCGATATTGCGATATTCAATAACAGCCCTAGGTAAGACTTCACTGTTTCTTGGTGAATATTCGATAAATATAGCACAAGGTACCAGGATTTCTAAATTTTATCATAAGGCATTATCGTACTGTAGATTTTTCCTGAAAACGAAATTTGGTTTCGAAAAATTCAAGAGCCTTTTACACTCGGTGTCAGCCAATAAGAGCAAAATAGTGAGAATTTTCATTTACAATAAATGTTATTAAACATTTAGGTCCGATTTGAAACATTGGAGTTCTATAATTTGATATTAAAACAGTAGTGATCTGATTGCACATGATATCGTAAACACCACAAATAAGATCAAAGCGCTGAAAGCACTGAATACAATTTATAAGGGTAGCACAATTTTATACCAATTAACGGATGAGGGATATGTTAAGGCATATAATCATATATTGATTGTACATTTCTACTGTAATGTAATTAAAATTGTGCTTGAAAGTTTCGATATTTTATGCTGTAACGTTTATATGTAAAATAAAGTGTCAATTTAGAATTTTGGATTATGTCAGTTTTAACTTTATTCCCTGTTATTGTGCAGCAAATTTTGTTGAAATTCTATGCGATATTTATTATTCTGTTGCTTTTATATTTTTCCTTGTATGCCCCCTTTTAAGAAAACGTAATGTGTTTACCTATTAAAGGCCAATTATGCCCAAAAAATGTTTTTATTTTAATTTCTCAAAAGCTTTTCACTTTTGATGTCCTGGTTAACTCATGGACCAATTACCTAAACCACCTCTTGTTTGCTTACTTTTTGGCAATAAGAACAGTTTTAAGGATTAAGTACTTTCTATGGAAGTCAAAATACATTTTTTTTTGTTTAGAAAGACAATATTAAATTGTTTCCGAAGCATAATGTGCTTTAAAGCATATCATGTCTTGTGTAAGATAAAATTGTTTTAAATTGTACAAATTGACTGAAGTGAACAATAATTTGAAACAAATTAAAGTATCGGTATGCTTGAATTTAGTTATATGTTCTATCCCCTTTCCAATTTCCATTTTATTTAGTTCCGCCCATTGTTTTCTCGTTTAGGGCACACACATTCTTTGACCTGGGTACGATACCCCGCTTTCCATAGATTGGCACTACTTTTTCACATTGAAGGTTCCATGTTAACCGACGTATTGACACATCTGCGGATGTTCTGAATTAAAAATACCACCATTTTTCGTGTTTAAATGTTGAATTATGCTTAAGCCGGTGCTAGAGGGCGCTTCCGTTTTCCAGTACCGTCAATGAACAGGCACATCAACACGAGCCTGAAACATTGTTAATTTTGCCGTGTTGGGTTTTTTTTAGGGATGATGTTTTTCTCTATTTTGAGTTTTAAATGTGAAAATGCTTTCATTGAGAACAATGTTTTCATCTAAATTATTCCACTGGTCGATGCATATAATAGAAATTGAATTTATTCTTAGTATTTTATTCACACTTGGTTAAAACAGCTAGAATGTATGACTGCCTATACAGTTATCATTGAACACGAAACATTTATCTGGAACAGCATTATCAAACCCATTAATTATTATGTAAATTTGAATGAGGTCAAATTGTTGCCTGTTGGCAGGTTGAGTCTTTCAAATAAGAATCCCTAAAGAAAGCCAAATACGGCAAAATTGAAAATGTTGCAGGCTCGGTTTGATTGAGCCTGTTCATGGACGGTACTGTCAAGTGCAAACTACTGTCAACGCCTCCTAGCACCGGCTTAAGCAGAATTCAACATGAACTGGTCCAATTTTGAAACATCCGAAGATGTGTTCATATGGCGGTTATCATGGAACCTTCAATGCCACACATAAGTGCTATTCCACGGAAAGCGGCATATGGTCCCCAAGTAAATGAATGTGTGTGCCCTAAACGAGAAAACAATGGGCGGAACTAAATAAAATGGAATTTTGAAAGGAGAGGTTATGAAGCCTGCATATCACAGATAAGACGTCAAAAGACAAATTAAAAAAGCAAGCCACATATTCTAAGGGTGATTCAACAGTATTGAAGTGAGGAATACTGGAACCACCCAACAAGAAAATAGCCGAATAGAAAAAACTAAATTACCACAAGCACATCAATAATGTCGTGCTGAACGATCTTTAGGGATCGGAAATATAACATCTCTGATTGAATGTATGGGGCGACTTATGCTAATTATGTATGGATGTAGATTCTTGTGATGATATGTCCACAAGCTTTAAATGTCCTCCTTCTTTGCCTATGTAATAGCTGGTAAGATATCAAATGTGCATGTATAATACTACTGTTGGTGTTACTCAAAGTGTGTTGGATGTAAAACTTGCTCGTTTATTTTCAATGTTTAAGTGTTTGAAGATAAGCTGAGCATTCCTGCCCATCGAAACAGTGCTTTCAACGCCTTGATCTTACTTGATTTTACTTGTCGTTTTTAAGATATCATGTTTCATACATGTAGATCTGATTATCATCGTATATACGTTGCCTTCATTATGATTTGGATTTCCCGAGAAAGCTATTTTTAGCCATGCAATCAAACCGGCTTTTACAGATAAATATCCAAATATCGTTGTCAGTGGAAGTAAAATTATTTTTTTTTAATTTTCGTTACAAAAAAAATTGTTTGAAGTAATTCAAAACAATTAAACTTGAAATAATTGAGTCAAGATTGTTTTACCAGTTTACCTGCATGGTATATGGTAAACGCCATGTAATTTCTTTAGAAATCGTGCATAAGCTCGCCGATGATTGGCTGTTTGAAAAATCACAAGGTTACATATTTTTGTTGATTAGTACCGTTATTTAGGAGCTGATTGTAATCAAATAGTTTTATGAACACATCTGCGGATGTTTCTAAATTCAAAATTTCACCATTTTCGTGTTAAATGTTGAATTCTGCTTAAGCCGGTGCTAGGGGGCGTGGACAGTAACTTGCACTTTCCATTACCGTCCATGAACAGGCTCAATCAAACCGAGCCTGCAACATTTACAGTTTTGCCGTGTTGGGCTTTCTTTAGGGATTCTGTTTTTCACTATTTTAGTACCTTAACTGCGCTGTATCTCCTAAAAAAAAATTATCAAGAAATTGCAGTAATGAAAAACATACCTAAAAAGAGGGTCGATACCCACATTGTTGAAATCGATACACAAATAACAATCATGTTTATTTGCATTTTGTGACAAATACGTTTTAAATTCTACTATCGATACATATTTAAACTCGATAGGTTTAAACAATTATAAGATAAAAAAAATGAAACTTTATTTTTACAAGTGAATAGATAACTTATTACTTTATTGTAAACACCTTTTGTCGGTGTTTCGTTATACGAAACCATATAAAATTTTTAAAAAGGATAGTGGAAATGAATAAGATTATAAATGACGTTATCATATCGATTTTGTGTCACCACAAATTATCGGAATTACAAATTGATGCGTTTCATGCGTTTTTAAACGGCCAATATTTGTGTTTTAAACCTATAAATAAATTGTAAATGGCCTCCGTAGCCAACTGTTATGGTTATGGTTACCGGTTTCAAATCAATAAGCCCTTACCGCTGTTAGCTCGAATCCCGTTAGAGACTGGTAATATTTTCATGTAAGGAAGCTATCCAGTAAGTTTACGAAACGTTTGAGGTTCTACTCAGTTGTCGGCCCTTGCATGAAATAATGCACGATAGATCACATAAGTTCATCAAACAAGTAAAGACATGACCCTTACAGTAACGGAGTGACACAAAATAATACAAACAACAAAAAATATGGATTCTTACCCTACTGTTTATTTAGTCATTCAAGTCAATTCGGCTTTTTTTATTGTATGCCAAGTAATTCAAATAACATTTTCAATTTTCCTCTTATATATTTATTGATTCCTGGGTGAATAAAGATATTTGAATTGAATTGAATTTATTTGAATAAGGTCATCATCGAACAGAAAATAAGGACTTTCGTTTTCAAAATATATATATTTTTTTATTGTTTCATTTGCTTTTAAATGAATTGTCAATTCATGGAAAATAACTTGGGAGAGCTGTTCAGTTACATGCAGGGATTGAACAACTTAAAGTTACATTATGCCCATCCAAGGGTATATAGTGAGTGAA